CCCGCGGCGGCCGCCCGCCGTCGGCCGCGCCGTCGGCGCCTGTGAGCAGCGGCGCCAACGTCTCGCAGGGCGGCGCCGGCGGCGGCGGTGACGCGCCGGGCGCTGCGGCGGGGGCGGGCACGACGCCGGCGTCGCCGCGCGAGTCGGCCGTCTTGGCGTCTGCGGCGGCGGATGACGTCACCGTGACTCAGCTCTCAATGTCCAACACGCTACTGGCGAGCGCGGTGGGTTCGAAGGCGCCCGCCCCTGTCCCCTTGCCCCCACCCCTCCCTGCGAATGCTGAGGTTTTTTGTTGAGCGGACGCGATTTTTGCGTGGTAGCCTTTCCAACGCCCCACGCAACTGCAATCTGAGGTGCGCCATCCGAACATCCATCCGGCCGCCCCAACTCGTCTCGCTTTTGGGGGTGGCCCTTGCTTTCCCCCAGGTGTCGCTGCGGCAGGCGCGGTTCGTGCAGGACGCCGTGGCATACCTTCAGAACAACCCCAGGTGGGTGGCGGATGAGGTGTCATCATGACGTCACCGTGACATCATGGTGACACCTCATGTGTGCCGCTGCGCCCGCGAGGCCCCGACGTTGCTCTCGCTCTCTGCCCTCGCGGGTGCAGCGGAGGCAGGGTCAAGCGCGCTGTATCCACCGACATAAACACCGACGAATGCTTGTGTGCCGAGCACCCCTGCGCCGTGCCCTTCTGCTAGAACCCGTGCAATGTGACGCACAGTGCCGTTTGCAAGTCCTGACACAAAATGAAGCAATCCCATCCTATCCAACCCCCCGTCTGCAGCCCCGCGCGCGACCTGTTCACCGCTGCGGCCGCTGCCCCAGTGACGTCCGTCGTGGTGGTGCCGCTAGTGGGCCCGGACGACGCGGCCGTGGGGGCGCTCTACTTCACCCAGTCCTGCGCCTGCGACTTTGCCAACATACAGGACGCGCTGCTGGTGAGCCATCGGGCTCCGATTCGAGCCGGCGGCGCCTGCCTGGATGCACCTCAACCCCTGAGACTCTGGGGCATCTTGGCGTCTGTCTGGGATCCCCGCCCCGCCCTGATGCACCATTGGGCATCGATTAACACCACCGCCCTCGCCAGCGGGCCCTGTGCCTTCCCATACGTGCTTTCCAGCCCCCTCTGTGCGTGCAAGCCCGCAGCGGCAGGCCGCCTCACCTAATTAAGCTGCGGGTTCGTAGCTGACTGGGAAACCCCTCGAAACCTCCGCGCGCCCGCAGGGTTTTGTTCACTGCGTCACGCTGACGCTACAGCAGAAGCTGGCGGGGCAGGCCGCGGCCCTCAAGGCCATGGCTGTGCAGGTGTGTGGGTGGGTGGGTCCGTGTGGATGGGCGGGTGGGTGATTTCAAGGGTGGGTGGGTTTTATCAGAGAGAGCTCTGTGTTTATATGTTGTGCGGGTGGATGTGTAAGCACGCATGTGCTCGCATGGGCGCGCACACCCGCGTGCATGTGCATGCGTGTGTGCCGTGCATGTGCATGTGTATGGCCATCCATGGCCGAGAGCTTCACCTTCGCGGCGGCTCAGCGTCGTCGGCCGCAGAGGCTGCGGCGTCCACGGGCGACCTCGAGGCCCTGTTGCTCAGCCCCACTGGTCTGCGTGAGAACACGCGTGGTCTATCAAGGGTGTGCAGCAACACCCCTTGGCCCGTGCCCTCAGTCGCAACTCGGGCCGACATCCAATCCCCCCCGCAAAACGACGACGCGAACGCGCCCAGGCCGCCGACCCCTCCGCCGCGGGCTTTGAGGACGACTCAGCAGTGACGCTCTCGCCCTTCGCCGCCGCCTCGGCCGCCGCCGCCGCCGCCGAACGCGACCGCGCGGCCTCCCCCGGCCCCCGCCTGTTCAGCCAGCTGTCGCGGCACACAGAATCTGATTACCTGGACGCCGCCGCCGCCGAAATCATCGGCGCCGCCGGCCCCCGCAACGGCGGCGGCAGCGGCGGCCCGAGCAGCGGCGCGCCGTCGCCGCGCTCGCTGCCGACC